GTGTGGGGACAGGACGGTGCCCTGGGGGACACCGGCCTCCATGGGACGGGTGGTGGAAAGGGAATCTTGGATTTGGATGCGGAATTTTCGGTGGTGTAGGTAGGATTTTATGAGTTTGGTAAAGGATATGGGATATTGGTTGGTGAGCATTTTCATCAGTAGGCCTTCATGCCAAACCGTATCGAAGGCCTTTGCGACGTCCAGGAAGACAGCACCAGTGTACTGTCCCCTGTTGAAGGCCGCCGTGATGTGCTCGGTAAGGCGAAGGATTTGGAGTTCAGTGGAGTGATTGGGTCGGAAGGCGAACTGCTCGTCTGGAATGACTTGCAGTTCTTGGGAGTGGGTTCTTAGACGGGTTAGGATAATTTTTTCTACCACTTTGCTCATAGCCGGGAGCAGGCTAATGGGCCGGTAGTTGAATGGGATGGTGTGATCTAGTCTGTGGTTTGACAATCGTTTGCATTTGCATACACAGCACAACAGTATTGTATTAGCTGCTTTCTTTCGGTTGCCGTTTTCGGATCTAAACGCATTATGATCCCAAAATCATGTTCGTAGTTGTTTTCTTGTTTCCGGATCTTGTCAAATTATATGATTAAGATCGGTAATCCCCTTTCCCCTATGAATCAAACTTTTTCTGTGATTCGAACTTTTGATCACGATCACATATTTAATATAACCTTAAAATTGTAGTGGTTTATTTTTTCTGTAAGAAGGCAGTTTCTATTTTTATTTTAATTGTGTACAGAAAAATAGGTATACCTAAACTATATTTAAAATCAAATCAAATGTCAACAGTAAACAAAATCCTGTTCTCTTCGAAATTGGATTCATGGATCTAGTTCGTGTTTGTCTGATCCTGATTCAGTGATCATGATTCAAAGCTGAGAGCGAAAGAAAACGGTTATTATCCACTCCACAAGTATTATCCTTTGATCTGATCGTTAGAGGCTGATAGAGCCTTAGAGCATATACTACTGGAGGCATCAGCATCCCAGCGGTTGAGAGTGTATCGGAGGCTGTAGAGGCACCTGGAGTCGCTGAATCCACAAGACAACAGCCTCTGGAAAACGCAGAGGGCCCTGCGACAGACCGCACGCCGTAAAATTTCTCCAATCCACGGTAGTGAGAGGGTGGTTTACATGAACCAGCAAAAGGCCGAGGATTTCGCCGACAGCCTGGAACTGCAGTGTAGACTGCCTCAGCTGCTCGACCAGGGAGACTATGTAGTCTCCATGTGCCCGACGAAGACGAGGAACTCGAGATAGTGACTGAGCGCGCGGCTCGACGCGTCGACA